ATTTGCTGACGAGACAGAAATCCAGTTCCGACCCTGCCTTACGCAATCAATTGTAGACGTTCCCCTTACCGCTAACTTCTATGTACATAGCAACAACATTCAACTATATAAAACTCTCGCACAGTTCTTAAATGAGATTAAAATAACAAAATTAATGACGCCGCTGACAAACCACACGTAAACATAACATAGATAGTTTAAAAAATTAAAACAACTGTTTTCGGCACTTTCTATAACTATTTTTAAACGTTATATACAGTCAACTCTTGTTAATTCGAAACCCAAGGGACCACAAAAATAATTCCGATTATCAAGAGGGAAAAGCCAAACTGTTAAAAGTTGATATGTATTTTTAAAAGTTATTTCTTTGTACGTATGTAAAACATCGTAAAATAATGAAAAAATGGAAATCATCAACTGTCAAATTGAACATTGGTATGCGTTTAAAAAAACTCATGAATCGGTTTTTGTTTCAATGGGGGTCTGGTGCCCTTTGTATAAAAGTCTAAACGTTTTTCAAAGCTCAGAACACTGACAAAACTTTGGGTGCAAGAAAGTAAACTATGCATGGAAATTTAAAGAAACATTAGAAATGAAACATTTGATTTGTAAAGAGGGTAAATGGCTCAATTTCGATTTATAGAATGCTAACTCCTCTCTCCCCTCCCTCTCTTCCCCTCATCCCTGTCCTTTCTCTCTCATTCCCTCCCTCCCTCTCTCTCCCCCTCTCCCTTTTGTTACGAAAAATATTTAGTATATGCTGTAGTGAAATAGAGTAGGTTAGGTGTGTGTGCGCGCTTGAAGGAGAGAGTAAGAGCAAGTGAGGAGAGAAGGAGAGAGAGAAAAGAGTTAAACGATGAGAGAGTGAAGCTTGAAATTAAAGAGAAAATGTAAGACGTAGCAGATGGATAGAGACCGCGAGACAGGATGAAAAAAATGAGAAAGAGAGAATGATAGAGGGGTCATAAATTGAGAGAAAAATAAAAAAGTAATTAGGCGAGATAAGGTAGGAAAAAAAGTAGAAATAAAAATGAGAGAACTAACATGAATAAATGAAAGCGAACGATTGAGTGAGAATATGAGAAATCGATAGAAAGAAAAAAAGAGAAGAAATGAAAGAAATTTGACACTGAGATGGATATAGAAAAGTAGAAGGAATGAGGAAGAGAGAAAGACAGTGCGAGTGATGGAGTGAGTGAAAGTTAGAGAAAAGAGTAAAGGGGCGAGTGGTTAGTGAAATTTCACGGCGCGATGAGTTAACAGTTCAGTTTGACACAGAAGTATTGCGGGTTTAGCATAATGTTGAGATTCACCCCATTTAGGTACCTGTGAAATTACCTCGACAATAGTATAACAATTTTCCATGATAACTCTGATCCCACTGGTCTCGTTGTATTTTCTGACCTGATGTGTTATTTGATTTCTAATCTCTGTCATTTTTGTAGATGTGTGAAGTCCGGATTGGGGTGCTACGGGTTAGTATTTGGGTGGTTGCTGGGTTTTCCCCCGTATAATAATAATAATAATAATGATGATGATCAATTCATTTTTGTTTTCAACTTTATTTTTGCTTAATTTTTCCAATATTGAAAATAAATTTTACTATTTATAGTGTTGTTCATAGGTGCACATTTTATGACTGATTACAATATTAAATTATATTGTGATTTTATTGTAATTCTTTTTTTTTCTCTACTTTTTAATATTTTAATAAATGTTTTTTTAAAAGATATATGTAGTTCTTTTATTAGTACAGTACTGCAGCTGAATAATAAATTATCTAACAATGATTCAATGAATTTTTTAATTACTTCAATAGTAAACAATTTTGTTGTATAAAAGCAAAAAAAGAATGTTTGAATTAAATTTTTTTTGTTGTAAATCACGTTTGTGATCTGTTACAAAAGGCTTAGGTGAATGTGTAAAACGGGCATGATGTTTCGTGTGTGTGACGTAGGATAGGGCAAAGCGGATGGGATTACCCTTGAGCCTGGTAAATCCTCGTGTTTAATTTAACCCAGGGTTGAGGGTTAGAAGAGGATTGAGGGGTGGGGCATATGTAAACCCGCCCCAGGGGCGAAGGGGGATGTCTTAAGCAATTCCATCATGGGCTCTGCGAGTTCTCTCTCGCGGAAAAGAGGGGGTGAACTGAGAAGAGATAAGGGAAGAGAGAAGCAATATTTTGCCCTTAGCGGGGACCCCTTCCACGACTTTCCTCGAAGCCGGGTAGAATCTAAATCATCCCTTTATGAATAGAAAAGGGTCCCGCACCTCTCTTCCAACCTTACTTTATTATTACATCCTTCTAACCCGACCGCCTCTATAAGCCGGCTTACCCTACCTTAGCGCACTTTAAATTCCTGAGCATGCTCTCCTACCTTTCTACCTCTTTATCAACCTGACGAATATTTCTGACCCGACCTCTCAAACAATAGTTATTAACTTTGACTTAATTAGCGCCTTCAAACACGTTTTCACCCTCCATTCCACTCGCCCTCCCCTAAAGCCCCAAAGTTAATTTCAGTTTTAATTAGCCTTTGGGAAACGCTTCTGCGGAATCTGAGAAATTCCACATTGGAATGTTAAAAATCCAATGGACCCGCCGCTAACTGTTGTAACCTCCATCAGAAAGTCAATTAAGCTTAAAAAAACGTGTTTTGTACGGTCCTACAGTAAACTTTGTACTGAGATGAAACAACGACCACATATAAACTGCTCAAAAATGAATAGAGATATGTTTATAAGGCATGTATAAACGTACATATGTAAAGACCTTACAGAAAAGAATAATTAATTCAAAGAAGTATCACTTCACTAACAGTGCCCCGTGGCCATTCATCAGTCGCTGAGAATCGAATCCTAATTACACGACATTTGACAGATAGCAAAAAAGAGCGAAAATTCAAAACGTTGTAGGTTGAGATGGCGAGTTGGTGTCTGAGTAGATCGAAGTCACGATAGCTCAAGTGGTTAGACCAGCGGCGTATTGAGCCGAAGGTTGTGGGTTCGAATCCCGCTCGTGACACTCACTTTTTCATCTCAACCAAGACTACATAAAAAGAATAATTAATTGAAAGACGTAATTGATCAATTAGACCACTAAACGTAATGTATATATACACACATTTTGTGCTTAATTTTCTGCTGTTCTTACTGTCCTCCTTAGACGACAGCAACGATAATTGTAGTTTATTCGTTTAAAAAAAATTTGGCTTGCTAAAGATTCAGTGACACAAAACCACTACCAAAAATACTGTCTAACCTTTTTGAAATATTGATTTATTTGCAACCTTAACTTTCTAATATACATACAACTCACTATTGATAGCTCTGTGCCCAGAAGACACATTTAAGGTCGTTAAAAAAAATTACAGTTTACTAACTGAGGAACTTGAAATAATGAAGAAATAAAAGCAAATGAGCTTTCTGTATCTGAATATGGTACAAATGGACCAATTATTTCCATAGCTTGGCTTAAATAGTTATTTTCACACTAGCCAAAGCTAACACTCAATATGTTGGGATTCAGGGGCGAGACGGTCATTGACTTGACGTAGAGTGTAGGGGTGTCTTGAGAATTTTTGTGAGGAACGTTTGGAAGCGACATCGGATCAGTTCGTTTACAAACGTAAATTTGGCATCGTTGGGCTAGTGACAAGGCTTTGACAATTTGCCTAAGGACTTATCATTGGATAGTGGATCGCTTGACAGAACCCAAAGTTCTAGTCCGTGTGTCGAATGTGGTCGCAGTTATGTCTTCAGTGTTAGTTGAGTTTTGAAGGTCAAAACAGATTTCTCTCCTAAAAGTTTGAGCAATTGTGTAAGTCTTCTGTTAAGTTGTTGTCTTGTTAGATTCCATGTCAGTCTTCTGTCTAGGTATAGTCATAAGTATCTAACTTGAGTGGAAATCGATAGCTCTTTGTTGTTTATGTACACTATGCACATTTTCCTCATTGACACTTTTCGCACTAGGCTTAAATAAGAACAAGGCGTTCTTGGGTGTCGGAGGTTACTTATATAGGACAAACTTAGAATTACTCGTCATAGAAAAAGAGTAATGAAATTATTCAAATACAAAGAATAATGAAATTATTCAAACCCATCACATTCAAGATGAAAAACTCTAACACACAACCATCTTACCCATATTTCACGATTTAAATGGAACAAATCAAAAAGACAACCGACAATCACAGCTACTGGAACGAACCAAAACACAGACCAACCAATAAAGATGGCGAGGAGCCAAACTCGTCTGACAGACCAAAAAAGCTTAATTTAGGTAAAATAAATTATCGGAAATAACCGTTTCTTGCAATAAAGGTCAAAATGGAACCACACAATTTAATGGTAATTTTTGTTGCATTTCAATAAAACAATCTTTTCGACTTCACAATATGTAGGAAATACAAATTGTATTAGCGAGCTACATGTGCTTTTCTAGTCCATAATATTCGTTCGAATTGATAAACAATAGGTTTTAAAAAATTTAATAATACGCTTCATATTTTATTGTCAAATACTTCAACTTTCCACTGAGTGTAAGTCGATATGTACGTAAGTTATCAGCCAATAAAATGTTGGTAATGATAATAAAATGCCGTCTTTTTTATATCAGTGCATAGAAAAACTATTTTCTTTTGTAGGACTGTAAAACAAAAGAGTAGCCGGGACTTTCTTTTACAAGGCAACATAGACCACTGTCGTGCGGTGTAATACAGGGCGACACGCAAACAACCCTTGGGGATATATAACTGTTTCCTCCCCCATCTCTTGGGAGATCCTTTTCTTTCCATCAGAACTACGTATAAATATCCCTTAGTCCGCCTCTTATAGGGCCGGCGGATGTAGGAGGTAACCCTATGGCCCTCGGAGATTTGTGGATTTCCTTTCGTGTTATCCTTCTAGCACCCTTCTAGTGAAATCAATACTGTTTCATTGATTTTTTAAAAATAAATATATAGGCCGCTTTTAATTTTTTTTGGTTGTTGTTAATTTAGAAAGACTCGGCGAAGGAAAGCGTGAGGGAGACTTCAGATCGAGAAGATGCAGCTCGTGTCGAGAAACTTATGCAAAACATGGGCGAGCTGTGGTTGAGATCCGAAGTGTCACAGTTGGAAGACAAAACTAGAAAAGTGTTTAAAGACAGTCTGCCACCTTACCTAGTACCGGACGCTGAAGCATTCCTAAACCACCCATCTATTATCAAAAAATTAATTTCCGCTAAAAAATTCATCGTTCTTATTCCATCAATTGGTAAATAAAATATATATTTTTTAAAGAGTTATATTTTTAAATTTCTTTTTTTTTTCCAGTTGTTTCAGCTCTTGATGAATGTAAACAAAGTAGCAGCAAAGTAAGGGATACAATCAGATGGCTTGAATGGCAGTTAAGAAAGGGTGAAAGGAATATAAGGATTCAAAGAACAAACGAGCACCAGTTCATACCGTATATCAAGTATCCTAAAAAGAAAGACAAAGAAGCTTGGTGAGTGAAACAGTACAAAGACAGCCGTGCGACTTTACAGGAATCTGTTCTAAATCCGAATTCTTTATGTTAAGGATGTTTATGCAAGTTGTGGAATGCTGCAATTACCTCTGCAATCAGAGCACTGGCGAGAAGAACCCAGAACTCGTGACGCTGCTCACCGGCTCTAAGGCCCTTCTCACCAGTAGTCAACCGACAAACGGCTACAGTCACATCAGTGTAGCCAAATCTGCAGGTAATTTTAATAATTCAGTAATAAGTTTGAAGTTGAAAGAATGTTTGCGTTCTCTTGGCTTATTGGTGTTATTTTCATAATTTGTATTTCTATGCGTCACTTAGCCTACTTGTACGACTCAATTAAAATCTATCTCTGCGAGTATGATTATTAGATTTACAATTTTTTTTAAATTGAAAATATTAAATTATTGGTTCATATTCTCAATCATGTAGATTATTTGAAATGATTCCATAGTTTCATAATTTTTGTTTTAATTCGTGAGAGAAATGGGATAGAAAACTAACCTTTGAAGCTTAGTTCAGCCTTATCTTGACAGCGTTATTTTAACTTAAAACTGTTAATTATGGGTATAAAAGACAAATAATTTATACTAGGTTTCGAGGTGTTGAACTTGATAAAAAACGGTGTTGGAATGTCTTTTTTACCTAATTAGAAATAATAACTGCACTCAAGGCAATAAAGGCATTTGGAAAATTCCTAAGAACAAACTAACCGTCTGGACAAAAACCGCTTAGATACAAGAATATTCGTATGCGGAGTGGAATACATTGGACTGACAGGAAGAGAAATGAGTTACAAAGAGGTTATAAGGTCATTCATTAAGAATTACAAAAAACAGGCACGTACCAAGTTAAAATTTACTTCATGGACGTACAATGTTCCTAATCTTCGGGCTGTATTTCGAGTAGTAAGGTCGATAATTAAATCGGAACAAATCAGTACAAATAAAGCAAAATGAAATAAGGAAAATTAAATCCAACTTTCTCTCAACTTCGCGGATTTTCTTCATCCCTCCAGATCTTTTTTATTAATTGTATTATAGAAGAGGAAAAAGTAGGTTTTTCTTCCGTTCCCGATGACGGTCTCAACACGACTGTCCTCAAAGAATTAATTTTAAAAAATATCTCCGTCGCCGGGAACGGGGGGAAACGGCCCCTTTTGTACTCTGTCAGCAGAAAGACGATTCGGCAGTTGCCCGGACCCCGAGCGTACTAAATTTGTTCAAACTTATTTACATATTTCGTCTGCCCAAGCCCGGATCCCTACACTAGACTAACCCTCCACTGATGGTGGCGAACGTCTAACTGTCCAAATGAAGCTCGCATTTACTCGCGAACACAGCCTTTAGTGTTCGGACGATTGGTCTGCTGTATTTTTTTACAGATGATTTGCTCTACGATCTCCAGATGGGCGTAAGCCTGTAATTTTTCCCAGAGCCGACCTTTTCAACGTAGGTCAGTGATGGTATAGGCGGAAATTTTTTTTTTTTTTTTACGAGGGTTCGCAACAGCAGAGTTCATATAAACCCTCAGGGTGCCGGTGGTTTTGAAAAAAAGCCCATTTGTAAGTATGTCGGGTTCGAATGCAGGGCCGCTGGATTCGAACCCGGGACCTTTACCTTAGGGCGCTGACACACGGAGCGGTTTTGCTAGGCTGTGACACATGCAGCGGTATGATGTGCGTTTTGGCCGAAGCGGTTTTGGTTTCTCTCAGTTATTAAATGTATCCTACAGCAATGCATATAAGCATTGAACGTCGCAAGGTGTTATTTTGCAGTTTGTATAACAAGTCCTGTTTAATAAATATATTGTTCTGTAACTGTATGTAACTTCGTGTATTAGTTACAGCCTTACAGACCATTCCCCCCATGCAGTACTTTTTTTTCTTTGATGAACATTCCATGGAAGTGAAATCTCACAGTTATCTACACACTACGTCTCGTTCGGTTTTCTCTTCTCTATGAAGTTTTGAAAAATAGTTTTAAAAATAAATATTTAAGTTGATCTATATTTAGATGGGATCTCGAGTAGGCGAATAAGCGTGTCAGACTCTCNCTTTTAACTTTACAACTACTTGAAAGTACATCACCTTATAATTAAATGATTTCTACAGCTTTACGGGTACAAAGTATGCGTATGACTGTCGGTGATACATGGTAGTAACTAGTTTAATAAAGATTTTGTTTTGAATATTATCTGGAGGAGGAAGGGGACCTCGTTCAAATCCCAGCTCTGTGCCTTTTAAATTATAGTATGAAAAATGAAAAGTAGTTTAAACCTTCCTTGACTCTGAACAGGAATTAGTTTACTTTTATTGATCAGAGAGGATCGATTTTTTTTTTGGGGGGGGGAGCGAAACGGAATCGAACCAACAACTGCAGGATCTAAGCCGAGAGTCTGACACGCCTACTCAGCTACCCGAGATCCCAGCTAAATATAAATCAACTTAAATATTTATTTTTAAAGACTATTTTTCAAAACTTCATAGAGAAAAGAAAACCGAACGAGACATAGTGTGTAGATAACTGTGAGATTTCACTTTGTAGCCAGTTCCATGGAATGTTCATCAAAGAAAAAAAAATACTGCATGGGGGGAATGGTCTGCATGGCTGTAACTAATACACGAAGTTACATACAGTTACAGAACAATATATTTATTAAACAGGACTTGTTATACAAACTGCAAATAATACCTTGCGACGTTCAATGCTTATATGCACTGCTGTAGGATACATTTAATAACTGAGAGGAAACAAAACCGCTTCGGCCAAAACGCACATCATACCGCTGCATGTGTCACAACCTAGCAAAACCGCTCTGTGTGTCAGCGCCCTTATAGTGATGAGCGCCGTGTCAACGACTAAACGTTGCGGCCACCGACGCCCCCTTGACAATCGTATTCTAATGCACGATAATGCCCGTCCGCGTGTCGCTCGCATAGTACTAACGTACCTTCAACATCATAACAGTCCGTTCTCAAGACTTGAACCCCATCGAACATTTATCAGATAACTTTAAAAAACGAATAAGAGCACGTCCATTACTTCCTGATACACTCCACAGTATTGAACGGTCTCTTCGTGAAGAATGGGCTAACCTCCAGCAAAGAGACATTTCCAGACTGGTAGAAAGTATGCCTAGGCGAATTCGAGATGTAATTAAGGCAAGAGTAGGAAATACGCGATATTGAAATGTTAATTGAAAATCTAAAACAAATTTTATCTGTCCGTCTTTTTTTTTCTTTTTCAATTTCGTTAGCAATTTACATTTTTTTAAACTATTTTAGACAAAGACTCAATTAATAAACGTTAAAAACGTGAAACTTTGATTAATATATAAAAATATGTACGATTCAAGTTATATTACAGGTGGGTGAAATTTTTTGCCTACCCAGTGAATTTGTGGAAACATCCATACCATTGATTAAGGTTTTTTAAACTTTTTTCAGGCAAAGACTCAATTATTAAACGTTAAAAAACATGAAACTTTGATTAATATATAAAAATATATACGATCCAAGTTATATTACAAGAAGGTGAAATTTTTTGCCTGCCCCAGTCTATTTGTGGAAAAATCCATACCATAGGTTTTTTTTTATAGACAAAGACTCAATTATTAAACGCTAAAGAACTTGAAACTTTGAGTAATACATAAAATATATACAAATCAAGTTGTATTATATATATATATATATATATATATATATATATAATACAACTTATTTTGTATATATTTTATGTATTATATATATATATTGATCTGCTATTTGTAATTCCAGAAAATAAATAAAATAACCTGACCAGTGTTTTTTTTCTGTTTGCAGGCATTAACGTGGAACACATTGAGACGTTCTTCAGCAAATGGAAAAGCTCTTCGAAGAGTCACGGTTGAAGTCTGGAATTAGCCGGAGGGCTTTATAAAACTGGAATGATCCGAGAAGAAGAGGGTAGAAAGAGATATAAAAATAGGGGGTTAAGAGGAAAATAAGTGAGCGCGAGCGAGAGAGAGAGAGAGAGCGAGAGGGTGATTCTGTCGGCATCGCCGATGGCGCTTGTGGGGGGCGCGAACCTCTCTTGAGTCTCCTGCTCCGGACCACCTCTCGCCATCCAAGGCTTATCTGCCCGGTCCCAAAGTGGCCATTCTTCATTTAGTTAAACTCGACATCCGTTGTTGTTCGCGGGACACCCCGTTCTCCTATCGTCGTCCCGAAACATTATTTAATTTAACCCAATTCCTTTGGGACTACTAAAAAAAAAAAAAAAAAAAAAAAAAAATCCAAACAAAAAAATTAAATTCACATTATTGTCTCTTTTCTTAAATAAAAACTTTAAGCAAGAGGTAACAGCTAGAATAGTAGTTTAAGCATCTTTTATTTTTTCTTTCAGCATTTTCTAAATTTAAAAAAAAATTAAGGGCGTTCTTTTCTCATTGCTAAAGCTAAATGTATTTTTTAGGTGTAGACTTATAGAAGTAGTCGCTTTAAGGATCTAACAACAATATTTGTTTTGTCACAAAAAATAAAATAAATACCAATAATGTTTCTTCGCTGTCATAATACAATTAAAATTTATTAATAAAGTTGGTTGTGATAGCTTAAATAACGGAACTGTATTTTTTAAGTGGATTAACTATACTTTCTATAGTTTTATTTTGATAACACCACCTTTGGTTTTTTGTTTTTATTTTATTTTATCATTGTATACTATTACGCATAATGCTAAATTTTTTTGTTACTAAAGTTATCTTCTAAATTTAAACTATCTGGTGTACTCTCTTTTAATTAGTTTAAAATAAAAATTAGTCAAGGTGAATCGTAATCCTTCCCAATTTCCTCATATTTTACCGAGTATTATTTAAAGAAATATATAGTACTTAATTTAATATTGTGTCCTCCTGAAGTAAAGGTAAAATATGCCTGCTGTGAACCAGAGGCTTTACTTAAAACTCTTCAGCCTACTCGTTGGCGAATTTCAAAGTGTAAGTAGTGATCAGCAATTTTTTATTAAAGACAGGAGGATTCAAGTGGCCAGTTGACACGTAAAACCAAGTTCCTTCCCTGAGGTACAAATACCTGTACCTTGTACAATTTTGTTTGTACAAATACAAATACGAATACCGTTCATCATTATGAAATGTTAATCTCTTATGTTTTTAGTTGTTTCAATTAACCAAAGTAATTAATTTACTTATTTTACAAAATATGGTTTAGGTGAAAAATTAAGTGGGACGAGCAGGACTCGAACCTAAAACTAAGAAGCTCCATTATTTGTAATGACAAGGGGTGTAAATTTTTGTTGGTGTAAACGTGTTCAAGGTTAGTTAAGAAAAATGTGGAAAAATAATTTGTATTAAGAAACAATTATGTAATTTATATACATACGAATATAAATCGAAATCATTTAACTTTTTATTTGTTGAAAAAAGGTTAAAAAAATCGAATGGAGGATCGATATTGATCCGGGAGGTTGTGGTCGTCACACATAAGTTTTCAACTAAAAGAGCTAGTAAGTTAGGTGTTAAACTTGAATAATAATTACGAAAAACAATACATTGACTGTACATTCTTGCCCACTCACAAAATTGGAGCATTGGTCCATGTTGGATATTAAGCCCTCCTGTACGACTGGAATTTACCTTTTTTTTACTTACAGTCAACCATAGGGTTTATTTAATACTCTTCAGCCAATCTAGTTTGCCATTTTCAAAAAAATAAACCATGGTGTATTAGTAACCAGCTTTCAACAATGTAATTTGTATTAAAATATGATCAGTGATGTGGCCAATAGTAACAAAAAACGAAGTTCCTTCGTCCATCTGGATTCATTTTATTTTACTAAAAAGGCTGGGTACTATTGTGGAGACTGATTTCAATGAAACTTATTTTTAGTAAAAAAAATTCCCAATTTAGATTTCTTACTTAGTTCAAAAAAACTGGCTCCTGGGGCCATTGGATGTGCATTTTTGACGACACCCTCGGGCACGTCTCTAATATTTTTCGACTTGTTAGTTTCACGAAAAAGTTTCATTGAATTCCTTGCTAGTCGAATAAAATGAATGTTTTTCCTTTGATGAGTGTATATTCCTCAACACCTTGACGAAGGAATGTGTAAAGAACCCTTGCAAGTATAAAATAAATATTAGGCTCAATAATCTAACAATACATAAAATGCAACTACAGTACTACAAAAACCAATATGCAGTTGAATATTTGTGCATCCTCCGAAAATTGTAACAAGGGTATTGGCATACTCATTGCCGTGTCTGATGCGACCTGCTCGCTCTCTATATTGAACCGAGTTTGACTAGTATTTGCCAGGCTAGGGTTCTGGTACGATTCCCAACACATCCCTGGGAATTTTTGTTGGTAATTATGTGTAAAAAATATCGTAAAAGAGGTACGACCTCCTTAACCGTGATTTTCAACGGTTGGAAGTTGACTTCCTGTACGTCAACCAGAGGGTGGTTTACTTAATTCATCACCTTCTATTCGAGTCTTGCAAATCAAAAAACAATATCTTCTTTAGTACAAATCGGTATCCGAAAAAAATAATGAAGTTTTCCTGAAAGTAAAACTGCTATGAAGGCTCTTTAGCTAAAGTCGGGTTAAGGCCATCTCAAGAATATGTTGCCATTTTTCTCACATTTAAATATCAAAAATCAACTTTCCACCTTATTCCCAATCATCTCTAATTTCATCCCTCTTTTCTTTTCTCATTAATTCATTTTTGTTGTCGTCTCTTGCTTTCTTCGCACATGGCGCAGCCAGCAAAGTGGTCTTTATACTTCCACGTTCCATTTTTAGCTCTCGAGAATACTCGCCAAAGGAGCATATTGGCAATTAAAGAAAGATGAATATAAAACCACCCACTTTGTGTTTTGACAGTACCTTGGTCTTATCGATCTCAAACCTTTAGGAGCTGTCAACAGCTAGGTCATTTCAGCCTCCAACCACAACTACATCTGCTTACTTTATACTGATATATACTATCGAATCCTCCTACCTATCCTTTTATACTATCTAGATCTCACATCTAATTGAGCGGCATCGGCCCTTCACCCTACGCATTCACTCTTATAAATACATTTTAATGTACATAAGAATAAAACTCAAAAGGTAATATATAAAGTACTATAGGTAAAACAGCCCTGTTTACGCTATAAAACGGAACGGGAGATCCAAATAATCAATGCCCTGCTGGACTATTCTCACATCGGGTGGCATTTCAACACATTCCCTATATGGACCCCAGGAACCCTTCAGTTAACACATCAAAAAACCTCTCTCTACATGTCGGACAATTATTATACAAATTATGTGTCCTTGTTTCAACATCGCATGTCCTATTCTTAGTCGGGTGAATATGACCCCGCTTGCTCTATTCAAATTCAACAGCTTCTCTACCGATCCGACCCTCCGTCATTTCCATTAACTTTTAGTCATGTTTTATTGGCATTTTTAATGACAGAATTTCCTATTGCTGTGGTAAGATCTGGAGGTGTGGACGTTTAGGCCTTACCCGTCTCTAGATTCTAAAGAAAACCACAGATAAAATGATCTTATAATTATGATATCATCGTAAAGAAAGCATCGACAAAAAATAATAGTTGCAAGTTAATTTATTTTTATTGTAATAAAAAGGTGGAAAATAAATAAATTTAGTGAGGATATTGCCTTAGTTGTAGAATGTAGTAGTTGATGTGAAAACACTGGTCTCATCTGGTACTGCGTGGGGTCCGCCTGATCACGCCATTCTTTAATAAATTTCCTGATTATCCTATCCGATCCTGTCATCATCAGCGGCTTTTGTTTTATTTACCTGCAAACCGACAGACTTTACTATAAAAATTTATCATATCAAAAATTAATAAATATTGCCTTATAAAATAAATATGTAATAATCAGAAAGCGTAATTTGTAATTAAAATATATAAAAAAATAGTCTGTATGTGTAAATCTAAACGATTATTCGTCTTCAATCTTAGTTGAATAAAAATGTTGAATTTGGTCATTCTCGATCATTTTGGTCACTGAGTTGGTCTGTAAGGCGCGTTTAGCATTTCGCTTCTTCAGTGTTGAGTCTGGGCGATTTTTTGTGAAGTTAACTCTTTTAAAAGGTCGTGAGCGGTCGGGTACATGAATCAGTTAGCTTTGTTTGTCGGTGGTTGGTGGGTTGGTGACTCCGTTGTTTTTTTCCGTTCGGTTTTTTAGATCATCGATCCTTTTCTTTTTTAAATTGGTATAGTGTTTTGAATGTGACAAATGATCACCCAGACTCACCAAACTAAAGTTGTCGAAACGGTGATACGAAAAAATATGCAGACCAGGATGTTCTGTAACGACTGAATTACAGGTTCACCACTTTGAAGACACAAGAAGAAATCTAACAGAACCAGCGATGCCTTACGGGCAAGGAAAAGGTCTAAATAAGAAATTGAAAAGCATAATACGAAAAATGGCAATCCTTCAAAGCCCAAATACCAACAGCGGTGATTTGGTATTTTCCCTTATTATTTTAAGTACCATTTTACTGTACATTTTACAAATCTAACGGAAACCATGGTTTACAATGCCATGATTAATCCATTTCATTAAAAAAAAGGAAACTAGAGTTTTTTTAATAAATTAACTCTTTGCTTCAAGATGTGCCTAGCGCTATAATTAATTACAAGAACGTGTGAACAATTCATTTTACAGTGACTGAATTAAAAAAAAAAAAAGCTTTACTCAGCTGTGGTTTTATCTGGAAATTGATAAATTATGCTTCACTGCATAAACACAAATGTAAAAGCATTTTCATTATCTGTCCTCCCTCTGGTTAAAATTAAAGCTGGACGTGGTCATTTAATGGCGCATTTTCTGCATAATGATTGAAATTTGTAGAATTTTACGTTGGATTACGCTGATTATTGTTATATTATTAAAGTTTTTATTGTATGATGAAAATAAAATTGATAAAATATTTATATAAAAGCTAGAATAATATTTTAAACGCCCCTCTTTTAAATGAATGACAATTCAATTGAATTACCATTATCTTCCCTGCTCTAGTAATAAAATGTTTATCATTTAATGGACCATCTGATGAAAAATCAATGATAATGTAATCGTTAAAACAATTATTGAATCGTTAAGAAAATATATAACCTTACATTATTACATTTTTTTGTTTATGTGCATGTTAGAGATACAGCTAAACCTAATATTTTCATAATAAAAGATATGAAGTTTAAGTCCTTTGGTCATAAACCACAAATTAACCCCCATTTATTTATTAACTATATCATTCATAGTGTGTGAGTTAATATGAATTAGCTTCCTTTGTTGTATTTGATCATTTTGGTATATTTCATATAGAGCTATTAATTCGGGAGGTTGGATCATGCAAGTAGGTATATTTTGAAAATTTCCCTTTCCTATTCATCAACATTTACGAATCTCACCAGTGTTAAATCCGCGTTTAAGTCCAAACAATAGAAGCGCAACGAGAGTGGAAGAACGTTGTAAATCGAATAAAGCTGGAACTAAGCAGGAATCGGTTGAACCTTAATTAAAGACAAAAATATATACTTTTTTCCCATTTTCATCGTCCTCCTCAAATGTTTACAAGCATCGAGTATATAACATTCGGGAGGTTGGATCATCCAAGTAGTTATATTTTGAAAATTTCCCTTTCCCATTCATCAACATGAGCGAAGAGGGGAATCATACAAGTGTTAAATCCGCGTTTAATGGAAAACTCTAGAAGCGCCACGGGAGTGGAATAACGTTGTAAATCGAATAAAGCTCGAACTAAGCGCGAATCAGTTGAGCTTTAATTGGGTAAAGTCGGAATGATGCGTAAATATTAGGATGTTTGGAACTGTTCCGGCGAGGCAAACATAGCTGCGGTCGGCTCCGCTTATTAATACCGTTGTACTAATGAGAGAGAAAGAGAGGTGGATGAGGGTGGTAAGTCGGGAGCGAGGGGTTGGAGGCCGCAGAGCTGCGGGTTGAGGCTGCCAGACCGCAACCATCCACGGTCCGACCACCACCAAACTCTCCTTACCTACTCCTCTAATTGCGAATACCCCTTTTCCGCACGCTCCTTTGATTGAATCCAACCCTCTGAAATCCCAAATGCAAAATATATACAGTCAGACGAGAAATTACGTGAAAATCGCCTATAGGAAACATCAGGATGTAACACATTAAAATATATTTTTTTTGCCATTTACATCCTCCCACCTACAGCCATTTGTGTTTATAAGCATCGGTATTTTGTTTTAAAGAGTATTAAATTGAGTAAAATGAAATTGAAAGGCCAGACAAAATTATAATTGTTTAGTAACTATAAATGAATAAGGTGGTGAAGTGAAATTAAAAAAATATTTCATACAAATAAGAAAGAAAGGAAAACGAAAAATCTTGCTCGACCAATAAAAAAACTTTCTAATCGTATTTTCCTATTCAGATCTCCAAAAGTGGCTACTCCTAGGCGAAATAATGATGAAATTAAAAGGATTATTAAAAAAACCGACAAAAATAGCTGAAGGTTGCACAATAACTAAGCGGTGTGCAGAAGGAAAATAGGAAGGAACTTCGCCAACTTTACAGGTCAAAAGCACCACCTTTTAATAAACTGGCTATTAGTTTATGGCACCCTAGTGTAAAAGGCTTAACAGAGAATTAAGAGATAAGCTGGGAGGACCCTAACCTATAAGTAATATTATGCCATCAGGTCTGGGGTGCAATTTTTCCACTCTTTCTATGAGCCAATGAAACGGATTTGTACGAGCACTTTAGAGGTACACATCACAATTTTGGGTCCGACAAGAATCAGATTGCTCAGACTACTTCTCTCTGACCGCGGGAGTACCGCAGGGTAGTGAGCTGGATCAATATATATAATTTATATCCTTTATACTGCAGATGTCCCAACTACACCTACCACACTCCCTGTATGTTTGCCGATGACATACCTACTTACCCTCTGACCGCGATTATACGGTTGCTTTGGAAGAAGTGCAGACAAAACAGAAGACTGGTGCGAACGATGGAGAATGAAGATGAATGAAAGCAAGTGCGTCCATGTCACTACGAGTGCCACCTATCGACAGTGCTCTGATAGGTGAAAGCTTCTCCGCCGATCCAACCCGCCTACTCTGCCAATTTTATTCAATCATGATTTTTATCAAACTATCAGAGCGGTTACTGCTCTCCGTGACAGATCCTCAGTCGTGCACTTGTTGGAGAGATAGCACACACAAAACTCTGGTTGTTGTCTGAGTTCCTGACCCAAGGGACGGCCCAATCTGAGGATTTAACTACCACGATCCGGCCCTTGATGGTGAAAATGCAAATAGTTACTATTACTTATTATTCGGAAGTCGTGAGGTGCAGTCTGGTGTGATGTAGGTTCAGAAAAAAATTTTCTTTATCGTGCCAACGTTTCGGTCTTTATTGAGGTCATCTTCAGGGCTCAAAGTGTTTGTTTTCCGTGTAGATGTGCATTCTTGCGTGTCGTGTTGAGATTTCCATTTCCATATAATCATTAACTAACGGTCACCAAACATCACACATTATGATGGATTCAATTATTACATAAAATCAATGCAAGATACAATTAAAGGGACAGAGGATATGGCCGCTTATGGATTAAATAATTGATTGAGATTGAGATAAACACGCGAGCTAAATTAATAAAAGCAAATTATTCAAATTTCCGTCCAGGTTGAAAAAAATATTGATAATCGGATTTGGTTTGTTTAATGGTTCAAATCACTAGAAACAGGGAAATTCCGTGAGATAAAATCATTATTTAATAGGCGCTAAAAATAATTATGCTAATGTAATTGGGCCGGAGAGTTTATGATAGGACTGGTAAAATGATTTCCCGATAGCAATCGCCGAGGCTTTTTACACGGATTTAATGCTATTGGCATATGGCGAATTAAGCACATTCCCTGGAGGTTAGTAGTTTTCGGCTGAGATGTTAGACGCTTCGGCAAAATCGATATCTTCTTTCAAACAGCACTGAATATTGAGTGGGCGTTATGAATTATAACCAGTATCAGCCTCAGCGAAATTGCGCCGAGAGATAAGTACTGAGGGGATAAACAATAAAGAACAACCGCCGCACTTTATATTGTATATTTTTAACAGTAAATTAAACATTTTGAGTTTGTTCAGTTCTTGCAATTTTCTCATGAATTATACTGATAAGGTTGGCTCTTTAATGAAAGAACAAAAAAAGTGGGTAAAACCATTAAATTTCACTTGAAAGTCGTTAATAAGTACGTTAAGCTTATGAATTTATGATAACATAAAGGACTTAATTTTTCTTTTAATGGAGGGCAACCGACAGTGAAGTTACATCAGCACCCAATTCACTATTAAGACCGATGGGGCACTCGATATTCATTTATTAAGGACACTTAATAAAATATGAGAACTCCATGCTGAGTATTTTCAACATAATATAATTTTGTGTGGAATTTAGTGACCTTTAATTAATGATTATTTGGAGATCGTGAGTGGTCTGGTGTGACGTAGATGACAAAAAACATAGATATCTCACTGGCGCTCTCAACACGACACACAGTAATAACACATCTACACAGAAAAACCAACTCTTTGAGTGAAAACAACTACTTTGATTGAGCCGAAAATTTCTATCATTGTATACATTTATTTTTTCACATCTTAAATGTATTTGTATAATTTAAACAATCCATTAGATTGCGTGGTCTGATTGACCAAATAACTTCTTTCAATTAATTAATTTTTATTTAAGGTATCGGTTGAAATGAAAAAGTTAGTGTTACAAGCGGGATTCAA